CACAATCCATACACACATCAATTGTGTAAAGCGCATTTGTACATTCATTGCCCTCATCATTCTCAAAACATTTCCTCTCCACTTAAGCCCCTGGCAGCCTTATGTTTTCCAATGCTGAATTGTGAACCACATTATATGCTGCCGTCCTCTTAACCTCTAATTCCATTAAAAACCAAAAACATAATCGAAATTGCAATGAGAGCAATAAAATTACAACAGTGTGATTTTACAAAGTATTTTCTTGCATTTTTTTGGTGGGAGTAACAAAGTTGGCTACTAGAGCCATGTTCAGTAAGTCACCGCCTTGAAGCTCCCATAAAATCTAGCAGGCCTTGGAAATGCTATGCAGGCTCTCTCTGAGTCGGAATCCATTTGATGGCTTTGGATTTTGTTTTCATATTTTTCTTTCAATTTTTCAATGAAGACCCCAGACGCGATTTCTTTTGATAGGCAGGTACCATCAGCTTTCTTTACCACATTTGCTTATGCACCCATTTTGTCTTCAGTGATCATGTCGGGGAGGTGAGCATCACAGAATGCCAGATTATTAGAACAAAGGATTCTTGTGTTGAGGGAGTACTTGAGTCGAGGCCCAATGTCCATCTGCAAACCTAATTCTTAACATATAGATATGAGTACATAGTTCTACTCCCCTCTTGTTATATATAAATATATTTACATATGTACATGACTATATTTAGACCTCTATAAATGTCCTTTGCCTCCTGGTTCTTTCCTCCATTTCCCTTTACTTTCCTCTTGTCCCACCATCATGTTCGACCTTCATTCAGGTTTAGTAATTCCTCGCTGCTACATTGCCCTTGATTAATCCCCACTAGGCATCCTACGCCCTTCTCTCCATTGATTTTAGTTCACTTGTAGTTCCCTTGTCCCTGGGTTGGTCCCCACTCCCCCTTCCTTTCTCCCACATCCCCCCAGAACCATTGGTCCCATTCTTTTCATCACCAAATTGTTTATCCCACCTATCTTATCTAGATAGACAAGCAAATACATTAATAAGTGCAAAAACCAGGCAAAGCCAAACAAAGCAACAAAGGAAGTCAAAACCAACAAAACAATAACAACAACAAAAAGAAAGCCACTGACAAAAATGGAAAAGCCTATAAATAGTTCAAGGTCTGTTTATTGGCCTTTACAAGTATTTTCCAGTGATGGGGTGCTACACTCTGTGGCCAAAGTCTATTTTTGGTATTCCTCGGGGATTTCATCACTCCCTACCCCCTTTTAACTTGTCATTCTGGGCATGGCAAACTGTAAGAAGGTCTGATGTAAAATGGCCCATGCCCATCCCTTCAGCTCACTAGGCCATCAAATCTTTATGCTTTATTCTCCATTTTTCATGACTTCAATTCTTCCCTGACTCATAATGTGTACATTCCACATTCTCATTACTAATGGATTGTTTACAGCATTTCCTTCTAATTCTGAGCCATGCCACATCAGCAAATAAAGGCCCCCAAAGCTTTGTTCCACCCTCACCATTAATGCCAACTCTTTTGAGGAGGTATCTTTTCCATCTATATTTTTAATGCTTTCTGATCTGAGTGGCTCAATCTTCCAACACCATATCAGATGGTGTTCCACTGATAGCCATGAGGTTTCCACGGGTCAGTTTTCTTCAGAAGAATCATGCCAGGTCTTTCTTCATAGAGCCCTGGGCTCCCACATGGAGGGTGAGGTATCTACCACTGAACCACTAGGGCCTGCTATTGAACACTATGAAGGGGCTTAAAAAAAGTCCATGGGGGAAATTCCATGATCTTTTCATTCTGTTTTTTCCATGAACTTTTTGAAACTCCTCCTATAATCACAAGTAATACATATAACAGCCAGAGGACCATAAATGTTATTCTTAGCTCCCTCCCTTCACAAATGAGAAAAGCCAGGCTTAGAGAGCCAAGTACATTTTGAAAGTCATTCCACCTTTGATGGCAAAGATTGATTTAAACCTACAAGGGGGTCTTAATTTCTCCTGGTTCTGCCATGCATTCGTAATATCACACTCTGTAGTTTGGAAGACTGTGGACACACACACACATATCCATATACACACATATCCATATACATACACATATATACACACACATACCTATATACACACACATATATGTACTATAGATATAAATTGTTTCCCCTCCCCCACTTCACCAGGATGCGGAGAGCTGGTTTGGATAGGAGAGCCTGTCACCGTGAGAACAGCTGAAGCGATCAATGGCAAGTATGGCGTGTGGATGCGAGACCCCAAGCCCCCCTACCCTTACACGCAGGAGACGACATGGAGAGTCGACACGGTGGGCACCGACATCCGCCAGGTTTTGGAGTACGACCGCATCAGCCAGTTCGTGCGGGGCCACCCTTCCAAGGTGCACGTGCTGCCCACGCCCCTGGAGAGCACGGGCGCGGCGGTGCTGGCGGGCAGCCTCTACTTCCAGGGGGCCGGCTCCCGGGCCGTGATCAGGTACGAGCTGAACACCGAGACCGTGCGGGCCCAGAAGGAGCTCCCTGGAGCCGGCTACCACGGGCAGTTCCCATACTCCTGGGGCGGCTACACAGACATTGACCTGGCGGTGGATGAGTCGGGTCTCTGGGCCATCTACAGCACCGAGGCTGCCAAAGGCGCCATTGTCCTTTCCAAGCTGAACCCCGAGAGCCTGGAACTGCAGCAGAGCTGGGAGACGAACATCCGCAAGCAGTCGGTGGCCAACGCCTTCGTCATCTGCGGCACCTTGTACACCGTCAGCAGCTACTCGTCAGCTGACGCCACGGTCAACTTTGCCTATGACACGGGCTCGGGCGGCAGCAAGGCCCTGCGCATCCCGTTCAAGAACCAGTACCAGTACAGCAGCATGGTCGACTACAACCCCCTGGAGAGGAAGCTCTTTGCCTGGGACAACTTCAACATGGTCACCTATGACGTCAGGCTCGCCGCTCTGTGAAGAGCCCCCAGGATGCAGCGGGAAAGGCCCACGGAGATGATGTTCAGAGTTTGGGGGAGAAGCAGGCCATCCGACCCCCATCCTGCTGTTCTCGGCTTCCGAAGATTTCCTTAACCTGTAAGAGGGTGCGCGGTTGCCGTGCGGGACTGCGTTTTCACAATCGCCATCTGGGCCGATGACCGTTTCCGATCATACTAGCTATTCTTTTCTTCCCCCAGCTTTTAAGGAGATGTTGAACTGACACGATTTAAGTCTGCTAGTGATTTGAGGCAAATGCTACATCATATCTAGTTGTTTCTTCATGAAAACCACAGAGCTTTTTACTAAGTGGCCCTCACTGGCTGAAGAAGGTTATGTTTGGAAAAGAGTTTGGGAAAGGCAGGCTGCCCTGCGCAGAATCCAGGGCTTCCCCGGGAGCGTCGCACTTGTGGTATGGAAGCACAGACAGAAAGACACAATAAAAAGCAACATTTCCTTTGGAAGAGAAACCACTCTTGTGGTCCATTAAACATCCAAGTACTTCAGCGCTATATTTAAACCAATGGATGGACCTTTTCCCCATTCTAGGTTATGCTGTAGTGCTAAAGAATTTCCCTGGCTCTTCTTCCCCACACACAGCTGACTGCCATTTGGCTGTTGCTTTGTGGAGTGAAGGAACACAGATTAAAAAAAAAACACAACAAAAACATCCAAGTACTTAAGATGAGTTTATTATACTTGGCTTCTAATGCTCCGGGGAGGGTCCAGTTGAGTATTATATAATACATGGCTATGAAATAAAATTATCTTATAAAAATCTATCTTTGAACTCAGTAGATTCTTTACACAAAAGAGGAATGTGCATTTGAACCATTGGAGAATTCCTTTGGCTTGGGAAATGTGATTGTAAAGGCTAGCTGTGTGTGTGTGTGTGTGTGTGTGTGTGTGTGTGTGTGTGTGTGTCTGAGAGGCTGGACCTGGTTTTTGAGGTACTGCCCAGGATAGGACATCAAGCAAAGCCTTGGAATCTAAACCTTCACACTCCTATCCCCTGGGATCCCTTGACCCTTCCAGAATGTCCGTTTCATCTTCACCCGACTCCCCCTCTCTCCACACAAGCTTCACTTCCATGCTCACTTGCGGCCATAAGTGTAAATCCCACCACCACAAGGGATCAATCTGTACAGCATTCTTTTCTTGATGTTAGAAACCTTCCACCTTGTCAGTTCAGCTGAGACTCCGAGCCCTCGGTGTATTGTCGGTGGATTCTGCTCAGAGCGACAGCTGTGCCAGGGAAGGCTGAGGGTCAGGGGCTGGCAGGCATGCTGGCACAGTGGAAGAAGGCGTCAGAGTCCGTTTCTTGTCACTAGTGCAGAAGCCAGCATCTTCTGCTGCCTAACAGGTCTCCATCGTCACTTTGAAGCCGGGCATCCTCCGTGCTTGGATGATCAGACACGCCAGGCTTGCAGCTTTGTCCTAGCTTATTCCAGGATCTTGAGGAACTTCTCGGGAGCCTGCTGACACCATAGGAAACAGCCCACTCTTCCTAGACCAGCGGTTCTCAACCTGTGGGTCACGACCCCTTTAGGGGTTGAAGGACCCTTTCACAGGGGTTGCCCAATTCATAACAGTAGCAAAATGAGTGATGAAGTAGCAACGAAAATAATTTTATGGTTGGGGGGCCACCACAACATGAGGAACTGTATAAAGGGTCGCGGCATTAGGAAGGTTGAGAACCACTGGCCTAGACCCCTCTCAGAGCGCCTTTCTTTCTGCTGGTGCTGCCCCTGCTGATGTGGGGCCAATCCTCTCCGCTTTGCCACCATCAGGAGCTTTCCCTGGAAGCAAGCACAACCCCCTCTCGTGCCTCCATCTCCCTGGCCCTGGCAGGCCTGTTAGGGATTCTCCAGCAGCTAAGCTCCCTGTTTCTCTCAGACGTCTCCTTGGCTGTCCAGATTCAGTTCAGCTCTCAGGGAGGGAGAGTCTGGGCACTTTGCTGTGTAATTTATTCCTTTAGTTTTTATTGTGAAACAACTTAAACATTCACCAAAGTAGAATAAAATGAGCCACAAAGTACTATCAATTCACAGTTATTAGTATCAGTCAATCTTGTTTTATAAACCTCGCCCTCGTTCCTTTCCCCCAACTACCCATTAGCTTAAACACAATTTCAGACAACAGATATTAATGCAAGCTCATTAAATGGGACCAGGCCCAATGGCAGAGCTCTTGAAAGTCAGAGCCCCAAGAAGATGGACAACAGAAAAGTGGGTGAAGGGAGACAGCAGTCAGTGTAAGACATGAAAAAAAAAGATAAATTATCAAGTGTTCATGAGGGAGGAGGGTGGGAGAGGGGGGAAATGAGGAGCTGATACCAAGGGCTCAAGTAGAAAGAAACTGTTTTGAAAATGATGATGGCAACATATGTACAAATGTGCTTGACACAATGTATGTATGTATGGTGATAAGAGCTATAAAAAACCCCAATAAAATGACTAAGCAAGAAAAGAAAGAGTCAGGGTTGAAAGCTATCCCTGCCCTCCTCCCACCCCACTTCTGTTAGGTAGCTGGCACAGGGACTGGGGTGTCCATTGCACATGCTCAGAGGTTCAAGCTTCCGGCCAGGAAGGGGTGGTATATCTAGGTGGGCGTTACACCTGGGTTGACCCATCTGGGCCAAGTGAATTCAATTCAGCCAATGGTGTGAACCAGGATCGTCAACCACGCCTCCAGTAGAGCAACTAAAAAGGTGGGATCCAGAGCCCACCACACGTCTCTTTTTTGTCTCTTGAGCAGCTTCTCAGTAGGCTGTGTGTGTGTGTGTGTGTGTGTGAGAGAGAGAGAGAGAGAGAGAGAGGGGGGGGTGGGGGGTGGGTGGAGGGGTGCCCTGAGGGTGCCTGTGTAAACCTGAAACTTTTTCTATCTTTCATAAAACTCACTTGGATCACAATCCAGGCTTCGGAGTGAGTTCTTTCTCGCACAAAGCCAAGGACGGAGGTATTTCTCCCACGAGAGAGAGCTAACACTTCCACACTCCCCCTTTAGGCAAAAGCCATGAGTGACTTGGGAGGATGAGAAGCAAAACCCAAACCAGTTGCCATTGAGTTGACTCCAACTCATGACAATGACAACCCCAGGTGGTCAGAATTTTACACCACAGGGTTTATAGTGATGATTTTTTTGGAAGTAGATAACCAGGCCTCTTGTCTGAGGCACCCCTGGGGCGGGGGGTCGTGGGGGTGATAGGGGAGAACCTCAAACCTCTAACTGTTCAGGCAGTGTGGGATACAGAAGGGTTTACCCCAAGGTTGTCCCCCTGAATATATGCTTGCAACACATGGTAAATGACTGTACACTTGGAGGTCAATGTCAGCTGCATAGAGGTTATCTCCCTGAGGATATCAGCTATCTAGGGCAATCAGACCCTCTTGTCTGTCCCACCATAGGTGGGACCCACTCTCTGCTAGGGATAGTGGCTTGTTCCCCTGAAGATGAGCCCAGAGAAAGGTTAGTCAACTCAAGGTCGACCAAAGTTAGGCTGCCATTTGAATCTAGGATCCGTCCATCTTGTCACATGTGTACCTCTAGTCCCTCTCCTGCCTATTGCAAGTCCACCCCTAGCTCATCCCCTTCCTGTCATGTATATGCCTGTTGAACAGCCCCTTCCTGTTACAGTAGGTGGTTATCTGTTATCAGGGGGGCTTGCACAGCCCCTAAGTGTATATAATCTGTGATTAGAAATATACTCTAATATATTCTGGCTGATGAGATCATGGCCATCCCAGAGGTGAGCATGTTACCATGAAATGTGTCTGACTTCTCCTCTCTCCTATCTTCTATGACTTTACTATGATCTTTATATATCATTGCTCTACAATTGTGCCTGTGGACCCTGAAGTTGTCAGATGCTGACACTTGACCGCGTTACTCTTTTGTACCAGCCAAGGACTCTGAAACCTTGGCCAAACTAAATAAAAACAAAGCCTACTACCCGTGAGTCCATTTTGACTCATACCAACCTTACATAGGGTGTCTGAGACTGGTAGTCTTCATAGAAGCAACCTCATCTTTTTTGTTTGAAGTGATGAGTGTATTTGAACTGCTGATCTTGTAGTTAGTAGCCCAATACCTCACCCACAGTACCACTAGGGTTCCTAGAAATCTTGGCCCCGAACAAACCAAACCCAAGGACATCATAGTGACCCTATATTGGGTTTCCAAGACTGTAAGTCCTTATGAAAGCCTCATCTTTCTCTCAAGGAGTGGTTGGTGGGTTTGAACTGCCAACCTTACAATTAGCAGCCCAAGCCAATCCCACTATGTCACCAGGGCTCCTTGGTAGAGGCCTCAAAATGGCTCTCCATCAGGTATTACCACTCTCTCCCACTGATAGGTGACTGTGAAAGAATAAAAAGCACAGGAGAGAGAGTGCATCAACTCATTCACTCTGGTAAGCATCTTTAGCTGCCAAGGTGCTTACACAAAAAGTACCTGGTAGGTCATAAAAGCTAGTGAGTAGCCATGGATTGTGTAACTATTGCTCTTCCCCAATCTAGAAGAAATATGGAGAAAATTAGTTCAATGGGCGAATGGGCCACAGGAACATCAGCCTCAATGACCTTGAGGCAAGAGGAACGAGAGGGTACCTGGCTACTACTACCAAATGCTCTATTAGAAGTCATAGTAGAAAGTCCTGGATAGAGTGAGTGTGTGTGTGTGTGTGTGTGTTTGTGTGTAACAAAACTCAAAATCCTAAGAGAGACAGGGCTTATGGCCACATAGAGACTGGCAGGACCCCCCAGACTACCCTTCGGGGCTGGAGCTGAACCCCCATCGCTCCATTTTCAACCAAACAACAGGCAGGTCTGTGCGGGGACAGTAACACTAGGGCACTACACACCTGAGAATAAAGAAGAGCGAACCATTTGAGATCAACAGCACAGCATTGACCCGAGGACAAAGCTCACAAGGTTAGGGCAGGAGGAGGAAATAACATGGGAAGCAGAGGGAGAAAGTCAGAG